ACTTCGGTTCCTGGTTTATTTGCCGCTGGTGATGTGGCTCGAATCAACCAAAACAAAATTAAACAAATTGTTACTGCAATTGCCGAAGGAGCTATCGCTGCCCAATCAGTAATTAAGTATCTAGAAAAACTGTAGAGCGAATTGTTTTTTTACCTCAATTTGAATAATCATCCTAGTCTTTTATATAATTTTCATTATCCTTTCACCCTTTAAAACATAATATTAACTCTAATTTATAATTTTGTCTACTTAAAAGAAATTTGGACAAGAATTTATCTTTCTGACTTCTTACCAGCATTAAGTAGCGAATAAGCAATAGTTTGTTATGCTGATTATTAATGAATTAGGTATAAAAAATAACTAAAGTGATATTACATAATGATGTTATACTATCCTCTAATAGTTCCAAAAAATATTAAATGAAGCAATACTTAAACTTGTTAAAATCTATACTGAAAAACGGCGAGGTGAAGCCAGAACGAACCGGAACTGGTGCAAAAGCATTGTTTGGTTGTCAAATGAGATTTGATCTCCAAGAAGGCTTTCCGCTTTTGACCACTAAAAAAGTTAATTTTAAAGCCATTATTTATGAATTATTGTGGTTTATCAAGGGTGAAACTAATATTAAATATTTAGTTGATAAAGGAGTGAATATTTGAAATGAATGACCTTTTAAAAAATATAAATCCTCTCCGGACTACCAAGGCGAAAATTTAAAAGAATTTGTAGAAAAGATTAAGGTTGATAATAATTTTGCCCAAAAATGAGGTGATTTAGGTTCAGTTTACGGTAAACAATGACGAAATTTTGGGGGAGTTGACCAATTAAAAGAATTGGTAGAAAACTTAAAAAATAACCCTTTTTCTCGCCGGCATATTTTAAGTGCATGAAATCCGGCTGAAATTAAGCAAATGCTTTTACCACCCTGCCACTTATTAGCCCATTTTTTTGTTTCTAATGATAAAAAATTATCGTGCTTGTTGTATCAAAGAAGTGGAGATATGTTTTTGGGTGTTCCTTTCAATATTGCTAGTTATAGCCTATTAACCACGATGCTCGCTCAGGTTTGTGGTTATAAACCAGGAGAATTTATTCACATTATTGGCGATGCTCATATTTATTTAAATCATTTGGAACAAGTTAAACTCCAATTAGAAAGAAAACCCAAAAAATTACCAATTCTAAAACTTAATTCGGAAAAAAAATCACTTTTTGATTTTCGCTTTGAAGATATTGGTTTAGAAAACTATGAGCCTTATCCACCTATTAAGGCCAAAGTAGCAGTATAATGAATGACAAGTATTAACCAAGTTTACTTCTTAGTTTTTTGTTTCGTCTTTCTTTTAAAAATTGAATAACCCAAGGCACTTATAACAATTAATCCTAAAATGGTTCCTATTATTAAAATCGGGAAATATTTTTCCTTGTTTGATGGTTGTGGTTGTAATTCAGTCGATTGATGAACTCGACTGATTAACCTCTTCATGCATTGAGAAACTGCTTGACTAGTTTTGGATTTTTCTGCTTCCAAGTATGTATCTTGATATTTTTCTTTTGGCTCGTTTTCCGCTTTTAAATATTCATCGGCAGCCCTTTTAAAAATGTTTATGGCTACTTCAACTTTTTTTACTCCTGTTATTAAGTCAGCAATTGCTACAACAATTTCTTCTCTGCTAACTTTATTTTCTCTTTTTTTCTTGGCAGAAGAATCAGAAACTTCCCCGATTTTTTCTGTAAATAATTCAAGCATGTCATTAATTTCTTCTTGCGGTAGTTCTTCGAGATGAGATGCAAACTTTTTAACTTTATCGAGCAACGAACTAATTCCCTCCTTTTCCTTCTTTTTCTTTTCTAATAGTCGATTGTGACGATTTTGTCGTCTAATTGTCAAAACAGTCTTTTGCTTATCACTCGGTAATAAATTATCTTGTAATGCTTGGATTTGCTTATCTAATTCGCCATTATCAGTCAAAAGGTCGAGGTTATTATTTTCGGTCTCAATGCTATGGTTTATTTGGTCTCATTTGGCAAGTTCATTGGCTTGGAAAATTTGTCGGAGTTTAGTATAACGATTTTGTCGTCTAATTGTCAAAACAGTCTTTTGCTTATCACTCGGTAATAAATTATCTTGTAATGCTTGGATTT